GATGCTTTAGACCGACTAGGGGGCCTCTCCAGAGTAGGACAGAGGGTAAGGGACATTATCCAGGGTTAACATTATCCAAAATAACAGGCAAATGCTATTCTCCCCCCACCAAAGAACAAATTGTTCCCAAACTGGCTGGTCAGACCCCTCAGCTCAGTGAATTAAGAAGGCAGGAGAAGAAGGTAGCTGAGGAAAAAAAAAGAAGGAACAGCCACCCGGGGGAGCCTGGCACAGACACAAGGACTGGTTTGCGGTCTTTAAGGTTTGCCCCTCTCCCCTGGACCCTTTCCCCTGCCACTCGTTAGAGACACTGCCTGGGGAGGGGTCGGTGGCCTCAGAGGCAGCCAGCCATGGTCCCAGCTCCCTTCACCAGACCCAGATGGAGGACAGACACAGCCAGTTCCCCCAGAGGAGGCCCATGCTGGGAGATCCATCACACTCCTCAGCATCCAGCCCCTAGGAGGCTCTGTGGGTTTATCACTGCTCCACATCGTACAAGGATCAAAGTTCCCAAGGCAAATACTGGTGTCTGCAGGCTTCCAGACAAAGCTTCCCGAGCTGGTGGAGTTAGAGGAGAACAGGGCCATCCACACCTGAAGTCCCCACAGTGTGAGAACCAGCCACCTACAGGACTGTGGAGGCTTTCTGAGAAATTCTATCCCTTGCTCCTGTGGAACAAACTTACACAGTGGCCAGCTCAGCTCCTTTAGGCAATAGTTTTCTTTTTAAAAGAAACAACACTTGAAAAGGAAGACTTTAAATACATACGAAAAAGTAGAGAAACTTTGCGGACCATTTGCCAGCACAACGAACCCACATGTGGTCCTGGCCACCCCTTTTGCATCTGGAGCTACCCCATTGCACCAGAGACCTCCCCTACAATTCCCAGATGCCACCAATCCTGGCAGCTTGCGCCATTCACCCATAGGCCTGTGTGCAGATGGAGGGGTGTGAGAGATCCCTGACTAGTTTGCATCCCTGTAGGATCTGATTTAGTGCTCCGTGCTTGGTCAGGACAGTCCTGTAGGAGTCTCTGGCCCACAAATGTGGGAGGCACTAATGAGATTTGTGACTGGGGTCTTTATGCCTTTCCAGCAGGACTGTATTGAATTGTGTCCTTATCCCATCTCAATGCTGGGACCCTAAGCAATATGAACAGAGGGATTGGGTCTGATTCATGGGTATCCACTGCTGGCCACTCTTAATGTGTGCATGTATTTAAACATTTATATATAATATATATTTAAATTGGATCATACTTTACTAGATATTTGTTTAACTGTTTCCTCCAGTTCTGTCATAGACCGCTTTGCAAGTTAACATTAATAGATTTTTTTAAAGTTGTGTAGACACATGGTCCTTGACTTAACCTGTCTTCTATTGGTAGGCATTCCACATGGCTTCCAGCCCTTACTGTTATAAAAACGCTGAAATGGACATCTTTGTGCACATATCTTGCCCCATCTGTGCTATTATCTCCTAGGCATACATTCTTAGAAATAAAATTGTGGAGTAAAAGGCTTGTACACTTTAATTCAGGTATGAATTGGGAAATTCTCTCCAGAAATCTTGGTCAGCTGAAGGGGAGGGGGACCTTCCTCCTGTTTCTGTCTGGTCTTCCATCCTCCTTCTAGTCCACTTTCTTCCTAGTTGAGACGCTTTCCTGTACTGATTTGTAAGTGGCCAACGTGAGGGATTCTGGAACTCCAGGGCCGCTGGGCCATGAAGCAAGAGAACAGTGGGCAGCATTGTGGGGGCTCAACACCAACTGGCTGGATGAGCCTGGGCAGGTCATCTAAGCCACAACCTCTCTGGGCCTGAGTTTCCCAACTTTGAAATGAAAGAGGTCATCAGGATGACCTTCCAGGCCTTCAGAGAAAGCAGTGGTTCTGTAGCTTAGACCTTCCGGGGGAGCTTGGTTCCACACATGATCTGATTATTGGTGAGAACAATCAGAAAATGTGTGGCCCACTATAGTCCTCACCCCTAGACAACTGAAGATTTATGGGCCACCATTCAGATCTCAGCCAAATGTGGCCTCCTCAGAGGCCATCCTGAGCTCCATCAAGACCAACAGTCTCCATCATTCGGTTCACTTTTGACTTTCTGAAGGGATTACTTATTTACCTGAGTACTGTTTGTCTCCCCTGCTAGATGTAGACGTCATCTACACACATGGCTGTGTGTGTGCCGTGTGTGCCAGGGCCAAACGCCATGCCCGGACGGCCAGTGTTTATTACCCATAAGATGAGTCACTGGGGAAGGTTTGCTTCTGTGTTAGTTTTATTTTAGGTAAAATATCCATAGATATTTTGGAGAGGCCTAGACCAGAAAACTCTATGACAAATTCTTCCCCCACGTCATTTTAAATCTATATTTGTTTATCCTTATAGAAAGCACTAGGTTTCTGGATCAGAGAAGAAGCATGGGGAGGTCGGAGCTGGCTTCCCATGCCCCAGCCCCTCGCAGGGCCACATGGGAAGAGCTAGCTATGCCCTGAGCAGGCAAAGGTCTGCAGGTCAGGAGACAACTGTCCCGTCACTTAGGGAGGGCTGCTGTGCCCCCTCCAACCTTCTCCCTGGAGTGTAGACAGCTGCTGCTAGGGACAGCAGGGGTGTCACTAGATGTCCATCTCCTGGATGAGAACAGATACTCTAAAATGCTCCATGGCCTCTCACTTCTGAGGTTTGCTTGCAGTTGATCATTCTCAATCCCTGGTGACAGTAATGTGCGCAGACGTCCGTGTTCTCCCCTCTGCCACAGGCTTTGGACGTCCACGTGGGTTGTAATATATCTCATTAGTTGCAGTGACTTTTTGTCGTGTTTTGTTTTCAAAATTCTTTTGCTTTATTTTACCACAATTGGTCAAGACTGTGTGTAACAAGTCTGCCTCTTACTTATGAGGGTGTGGATATTCAGCTCCATATACACATACATTGTTTGATGAATTGTTTCTTTTTTCTTCCGTTTTTTATTTGAAAAGGGAAGCCTCCTGTTCATCTATCCCACATCTATGTGCCAGGCACTGTGTGAGGCTTGGAAAAACTTAGCCCTGGTCCTTGGTCCTGGGGGAGCCTACTGTCTTTTGTGAGAGGCAGACACTAAACAAAGAATTACCCAGAATGTCAATAATTAGTGAAGGTCAGGAAGCAGGGATGTAACCCCGGGTGGGGGGAGCCTGCCAAGTCAAAGACTTGTCCCAGGCAAGGCCGGGAGAAGAGAGCTCTGGATGAGGGGAATGAGATCCAGGGGAGGGATGATAGGGAGCTCTGCCAGGGTCCAGCCCTGCCAGGTCCTGCTGGTCCTGGGGAGGAGAATGCAGCAGGGAAAGAGTGAGCCCTGAGGGCTCCTCACTCAATGCTGGGCAGCTCTGGAGTTAAAGCAGGACCCTTTTCTTTCCTAGGGACTGTGGAATAGGGGTAGGAAGAAGGGAGAAAGATCAATCTATTTATTTATTTGCTAACTTATTTTTGTTTTTCATGGTACTAGGGATCAACCCCCAGGCATGAACATGCTAGGCGAGTGTTCTACCACTGAGCTACACCCCCAGCCCATTTTCTTTTCATTCATTCATTCTTTCTTTCTTTTAATATTTGAGATAGGGTCTCTACTTTGCAATCCTCCTGCCTCAGACTCCCTAGCAGCTGGGATGACCACCAGGTATATGTACCACCACACCTGGCTAGAAAGACCAAGTTTTAAGAAGACACATGTTACTTAGAACAAGGTTTATGGTTCTTGGGGATGAGGGCAGAGCCCAGCCTATCTCTCCCTCCCAAATCAGCCAGGAGCCCTTGACAAGGTTTAGACATGTGCATTAGGGCCACTTGCTAGACCCACAGATGATTGGTGGCGGGGAACCATGTAGAAGCTTCTAGAGAAACCTCCAAACGCTCTGTCACTGCGCCTCTAGCAAACCAGCCCTACGTGGGCCCACATTCACAGCAAACAATGGTAACATTTACCAAGTGTTTCTGGGAAAATGAGTGCAAAGCGCAGGAAATGCAGTGCAAATTGCCAGGACGCAGTACATTAGCAACACGGTATTTAATCAGTCTGGAAAGAGGTATAAATTTCAGGAAAATGTCAGTTGCAGCAAGGTAAACAACAGGCTTCTCCAAGCCTCCTTCTCTGTGGGGCTTTTTTCCACCTCCAGTTTTCAGTGGAGCTGAGATTCTTGGGTGAGACTGGGTCTTAAAGGTCACAGAGGAGAGAATCAGGGGGCAGGAGAGGAAAGGGATGCTTGTGGGTTACAACCTGGCAGAGAGCAGCAGGGACACCAACTTGATTTTGCTTGAGGAAAACTGAAACTAGATGGGGACTTGTGTGTCCCCACAATATTTGCTGCAGAAACTGGATGCTTGTGGGGCGCTATGATCTGAATGTGTCCCCCACCCCCAAATTCATATGTCAGAACCTAAGCCCTTAGATGATAGTGTAAGGTGATAGCGTGGGAGGCAATTAGGTCATAAGGATGACCTCATGAATGGGGTAGTAACCTTATAAGAATGACTCCAGAGAGACCCTCACCCCTTCCACCAGGCATGAGGGCACCGTCCACACCCCAGATAGTGGGCCCTGTAGACTCTGGATCTGCCTTGGTCATAAACTCCCAGCCTCTCAGCCTCCAGAACCATTAATGACATTTATTGCAGCTGCCATAACAGACTGAGATGAGACACACAAAGACTGCCTGCAGCTCACAGAAGGATTGGGAGCTACCCTGGCTTCAGATGGGGTCATATCTTGTCAGGGTCAGGGAGAGGTCAGGTCACCCTCTGCATTTCCCATCTCAGGCAGCCACGGTTCTTCCATTGCTCTTATTGCTGGGACTGCAGAGGAACCCGGGAAACAGGTGTCCACAGCCTTGTCCAAGCCGTTCCGAGTGCGCTACCTAAAGCCACCTCTTCAGCCACTCAGTCTGTGGTCCCAGAAGATTACGAAGCTTGTGGCTTGGGCTGCAGGCCACTGACACGCTCGCTGTCCTTTTTTCTCTGCAGTCCCCGACAGCATCATCATCAAAGTGCTGGTCCAGCGCCTGGAGAAGCAGGACTGTGTTCAGAAAGGATGGGTGCTGCACGGCTTCCCACGAGACCTGGACCAGGCACAAATGCTGAAAAAAGTGGGCTTCAGTCCCAATAGGTGAGCTGCCCCATGAGAACCCCAGCCTCAGCCGTGCTTGGGGCTCCCTCCCTTCGGGGCTCAACTGACAGCTTCCAGTTTATAATGCCTTCTGGTGTTCCTGAGCCACATGAAGGCCATAGAATGCCAGGCATCCCTTTCCCACCACCTTGCCCTGTGAACTAGGAGTCAGGCCTGGGTTCAAATCTTGGCTCTTGTGCTCCTCCCTCATAAAATATTAACTGATACCAAATAAGCTTGCCTTTCTTGTAAGATTGTTGTACAGATCAACTGTTTTCTACTATTCCAGCAATTTCTTTTTTTTTTCACTCAAATATTTGGTATTTATTTTGCTGCACATATGCAATATGAGTTTTCTTTTAGAATCATCTTAACATCTGTTCCGAAAAACATTGAATATTGTTGAATGGTCTGTCCCTTCTCACACTCCTTTGAGTGTAGAGCAACCACAACGCCATGTAGCATGGAAACAAATGATGACCACCCAAAGCAAAGGCCATCTTGTCTGAGCCTGCGGTGTCAAGTGATGGGGGGCGGACATCACTGCTTGGCAGAATAGTGGGAGAGTTTTCTGGGGGGAAGTGGAAGGGGCTCTGGGTGCTCTGATTCGAGGCTCTTGGCAGGGGACAGCTGGGCTGGGCTGACTGGGAGTACGGGCATCTTAGGTGATCGGTTAAAGGAACATGTTTGGCTTTTCTGGTTGCAAATAGTGGCAAAAATGAGAGGAGCTATCAGTTATTGATCAAGTGTCCTGGCCATCTGGGGCTAATTTCTACAAACACTGTGGTTGGCTTGCTTGGTTGCTGCAGGTTATAGGTTTGAGTCTGTATGGTCTGACCATTGTCCACTTGTCCCTAATATAGTTAGGTCTATAACTTTCTGATGTTTTCCTACTGTCTATTTCTTCAGGGCTGCAGTGTTAGAGCAGTTTAGTTCTGACATATTTCAATAGTCAGTGCAGTAAAAAGACCTTCTCACTTTTCTCCATTGTCTATCTTATCTATCTACCATTCCATGTGGACACTACAATGGGAATTTTAACTGGGGCTGCCCTCAGTTTGATGTGTGGTGGTCTGACATGCTGATTCCCTGGCCCAGTAGCCTACCATCAACCCCCTTAGGCTCACGGTTTTGATTCTAAGAGCGTTTCTAGATACTACGTTATTTGTTGACCTTGCTGGTATGTTAGGATGAGTTAGTTTCATCTGTTTCATTTTCTGGACGAGTTTTTCAGGAGAATAGGAAAGACATCATTTGCTTTTTATTTTGTACCACAGCCTCCTTGTAGAACTCTGTTTCTGATAGTCTTACAGTTGATGTTCTTGGGGTTTTCAGGTGGACAATGATGTCAGCTACAAATGTTTATCCTTCTGCCTCTTCCTTTTCAACAAAAGTGCTTTTCACTTTACCCTTGTTCCTCTTGTGTTGGGCCGAGCTGCAGAGCTGCGGAGCTGTATCACGACTGACAGGGAGGTTCTTCCTGGCCTGAAGGGCCGGCCTGGTGTACTGCCATTGAGGCACTGCTGGCTTTTGGTAGAGGGCTACGAAAGCCTTATGAAATTAAAAGAATATAGCTAGCTCCATGGATTTAAAATGCTTGGACTTGATGTTGAATTTTATTGACCTTTTTTCAAAAAGACAAGTGATGGTTTTTTCTCTTTTGACATGTTCATATATTGAATTATGTTAATAGGTTTACCAAGTCAGCTTTTGTTCCTAGATTGACTTTGGCTTGGTCTTGATATCTCTTTCTTTCAATACTGCTTGTGGCAGCTGAAACTGTGACCCTCCTGACCTTTGCCCCCTGCTGTTATGCCTCGGAGAATGTCGTTATGTGACACAAGGCACTTGCAGATGTGAGGTGACTGGCAAACTGACCTTAAACTAGAGAGGTCATGAGCTCTTAAAGTGGAGGAGACAGAGGAGGGGCTGGAGAGGCTGTGAACTTGGGAAGATTCCACATCCCACCGCTGGCTCTGAGATGGGGGATCCCTGGAAAACGTGGGAAGGAAACGAAGTCTGCAGCCACCAGTGCGGCCCAGGTGAGAACCAGAGCCTGGCCCCAGTTAGACCATTGCAGGCCTCTGACCTACAGAAAGTTCGAGACAATAGAGGCGAGTATTTTTAAGGAGCCATCCTGTGATGATACCTTATAGCTGCAACAGGAAACTAATACACCATCAGGGGTGTTGACAGCGTTTTATTAAGAATCTTTCTTCACTTATATTTATAACATGGGTCTGAACTTTCTATTTCTTGTGCTTCAGGCTTTAGTATTATGGTGTGATAATTTCTGGGTCTTCATTCTTCCTCCGGACCCGAAAGTCTTTAGGAGAGTTTGGTGGTGACAATTCCTTGGATCTGGCATTAGGGCACAGGTAGCTTGTGGGCAATTTGATCGACTTTGCTCTCACTCTGGTCTGCTTTAGTTTCTTTCCTCCTGTAGTTGGGCTTTGCCTAGAAAATCGTCCCTGTCCCTTGTGTCTTTAAATGCATCAGTGTAATTTACATATCTTATGAGGTTTTCTAATTTCTTCTCTATCTGTGGGTTTCTTTCCTCTTATTGCTAATTTTATGTATTTGGGTTTTCATCCTTTTTGAAGATTAGTTTAATGGGTAGTCTGACTTTTTATTTTTTGTTCTGTTGTCAAAGAAAGCTTCAAATAATTGATTTGTCAATTCTACTGTTTTCTCCTATTCTATTTTCATGAATTTTTGTTTCTCTTGATTAGTTAGTTCTTTTGTGTTGCATTTATTTTGTTCTTTTTCTGAAAATATAAAATGCATAATTCACTTATTTTCTGTGTTTGATGCTAAAATGGTTAAGGCTTTGAATTGTCCTCTCTTTATAATTGTAGCCATATTTCATCTTTTTCATTCTTAAAGTATTCTGAAGGTGTGGTTTACTTTACTGTTCTTACATTTGAGATTTATTTGGGAGAGTTAGAAAATTTCCAAGTCATCGGCATTTTGTTATTATTTTAACTTTTAGTATTGATTTTTCATTTTAATGCAGAGCATGGAGAATTTGTTGAAATATAATCTATAAATTTTTAAACTTTTTTTTTCTGGTACTGGGATTTGAATCTCAAGGCAGGTTCTGGGGTTTGTGTGAAGCTGAGCTACACAATTTATTCTGTAAATAATTACTCAGTAGGTACTTGAAGATAGTATTTTCTTTAATTTAAAGTTGTATAATTAAATATATGTGTTAGATCAAACCTATTAATTTTATAATTTAGATCTCCTGTATGCTTATCTCTTTTGCTGGTCAAGAGCCAAGCAATTTGTTAACTTCCCATTAATATTGTATGTTTATTAAATTTTATTGTGCTTCCTACAGTTTTTGCTTTATGTGTTTGGGTGCTGTGTTGTTTAGTGCATAAAGGTTTATGTCAGCAATGTGTCCGGCATGAAATGTATTCTTGGTAAAAATGACCATCTCTGATGGACTGCCGGCTCATTGTCTGCTCCAGCATTCATTCTGCACCTCCTCATCCTCAGTAGCAAAACTTCAGTTTTCAGAGGAGCACCTTAGTGTATGAAATGAAAAGATTCCGTGTCTAGTGTTCTTAATAGCTGTATGGACCACAGTACTAAATCCCAGACAAAATGAACTGCAGTAGTAGAGCTCTTCCAGAAAAGCTACTTTAAGAGCTCTAATTCTGCTGAAAAGAGTTAGCCTTTTGTTTTTCCTGACATTAAGAGTCACCTTGCTTTTTTACTTGCTGCATTTTCTTTGCACCTACTTGTGAATTATTTCCACATATAACAGTAGCCTCTCAGAGCAATTTTCCACAAAGTCCATCATATTACATGGTCTGTAAGTTCCAGTTTTTTCTTGATGACACCATTATTCTCCTGTTTAGACTGATTTTTCTCTAGGCTTATTGTATGACTGATCTGCTAGGACTTTCTTTGCTCAAAGTTCCTTTCCTTTCTTTGCTCAGAGTTGGGAGTCCCTGCTTCCTGGACACGTATCTTTCTCTTTCTTGTATACTCCCTTGGCTTATCATAGCATATTCTACACTTGCCTCTCAAGTAAGAGAGATGGTTTACCAGCAGAAGGCTATTATACCTGAGGCACAGTTGTTCAAATTTCTTTTTTCTTGGTTTATAACCTTGTTTTGATGGAGCACATCCATCAGCAGCTTCTTGGGAAAGGCTGTGTGGGAGGTAAATTTTTTGAGACCTTGAATGTCTGCAAGTATCTTTATTCTATCTTTAAATTTGTTGGATAGTTTCATTGGGTGAATAATTACAGGCTGGGAAAAAAAAGAATTACAGGTTGGAAATAATTTTCTTTCAGAATTTTGAATCTTCAGGGGCTGGTGGAGTGGCTCAAGTGGTAGAACACCTGCCTAGCAAGTATGAGGAACTGAGTTTAAACCCATACTGCCAAAAAAAATTTTTTTGTTTGAATCTCTGGTATTGCCATTAAGAAGTCCAATGTAAATTTGATTCTTGATGCTTCATGTATTCTCTCTCTCTCACTCTCTCTCTCTCTCTCTCTCTCTCTCTCTCTCTCTTCTCATCATAAGCTCTTCCCTTTGTCTCCAGGATTCGAA